AACCTTCTCTCAAGTCTTAATGAGAAAGAGTACATGTTGCTTCTTCATGAACTATCAACACACAAGATAGCAGGACCTGCAGATGTCTAATAGCAATCATCTATTGATAGAAATATAGGGAAGAATCTGTGACAATCTTTAAAAAGAAAACAACCTTCATCCAAAAGCTGCAATATCACAGCTACCCAAGAAGTCATCCCAATCTGTAACTCTCAACAAGCTTCAGCCTTGTCTTATAGCAACATCATCTTAACTTTCCTCACAGCCATGGGAAGCAAAGCACTGAGTTGGAGTATGTGTGCATTCTGTTCTATGAAACCACCACATCCCTTTGCTAGAAGGATTTTTGATCTAGTCCAATTTTCTTGGATCTACTTCATATCCTAGCTGACCTAAGAAAGCCTCACTAAATAGAACTGAAATGCTAGGCAATCAGAAATGAAACCACCTCATGTCTTTTAAAACCAGAAGTGCCTTACCGATATGCTTTCCCTTGGACAAAGCAGACAAAGAAGGAGAGCAATCAGAACATGGAGCTTCATCTTTACTTCTTCTTGGTACCATTCAGGCGTGAATCCACCAAAGTGAGAAGTGAATCTCCTGAGTTTCTGTATTTATGGTTATTCAGCCTGGATGGTCAAGGTGACCAATCCAATCTTCTTGTGAGATAAAAGTGGGATTGACATCATCATCTGAAACACAATTGTTCACTCCAAAGGAGAGGACAACTTTGTGTAAACAAAAACTGTGTTAGTCTATAATTTCAATAGACTAATAAGCTGAATTTGACCTTTAACAAATAAAGTTGCTAGATCAAACCTATCCAGGTGGATGTTTTCCAGATTTTCTCTCTTCAACCCAATTGAAGAGGCCAGGCTAGAACAACAATTGATGCAGGTAAAAGAACATTTTGCACACTTGGAACATTATTTAGAAAGCAAATGCATACTCAGCACCAGTTTCACATAGCTCTAAAAGTACCCTCGTTATAAATTAACTACCTCTTTCATCATGTTCAAAATCAGCTGAGTTGGGCTCTTTAGCCTGAACAATGGTGGGACAAGCCTTGTCCCAAATTTTCCAGGTCTCCATTTTTCAACTTAGGCTTAAATTTCCATGATGTCAAATTTTCATTCCTCGTCTTTTGTGATAGCCTTTTCTCTTTGAAATCAGATAAATGTAATGTGGTTTCAACAAGCATTTTTTAGTATCGAGGCACTCTTTCCCATATTATCCCTCCATCTTTCCCCTTCCTGAATTGTCAGAGCCCTATTAATGATGAATTCCCACTGTATATCAATAATCTGTTTTGGTTATGTACAAATCAATGTTTTCCTGAAGTATGAAAACAGAAATAATTATATCGGCTTTGCTCATTTTATTTACAATTATTTGACCTTGGTGAAGAGAACCAGAACTGATTAATACACTGATGGGAAATCACCACAAAACCCAATTACTGTAGGTTAAATTTAAAAGGTAAAAAATGAACCATCCATCCATTCTGGGATGCCAAACCACTTCCCTCATTTTCCTGTTATCAAAATAATTACTAATATAGAATTGGAGAAATGGGAAAAAATATGGGAAATAAACATAAAATTGACTATGTCAGTGGCATTCAAGGAAAACCAGTTGAAGATGTTTTACAGATGGCATCTTCCACCAGCAAAGCTTGCCAAGATGTTCAGAACAATTCGTCAATATGTTGGAAATGTAAAAAAGCACATGGAACATACAGTATTATCATTTATGGTGGACATGCCCAGTTGCAAAAAAATACTGGACTAAAATAAGAAGATGGATCAAAGAAATAATAGACCAACCCCTAGACTGGAAACCAGAGATCTTTTTGCTGGGTATTTTAAACAGAAAATATAGTAAATAAATACGGTATTTAATTCTACATATAATAATATCAGCAAGAATAGCATACGCACAGTTCTGGAAAAATGAGAATATACCATCAGAGGAAGAAGTGATAAGTAAAATCCTGGACTGTGCTGAGATGAACAAATTAACAAAAGAGATAAAAGAAAAGGAAGACACAGAGTACTATCTAATATGGAATAAGTGGTATGATTGGTTGGAGACTAGAAATAATAGAGGAGAATAAATGTGGAAAGGTCAAAAGTGGAAAATGTCTGTATAATAATGTATAGTAAAAATAATATGTATTATTTTTATATGAAGTATAGTATGAAGGAAGAAAAATGCAAACAAGGAACAACGGGACAACAAGGACAAATATATCGAAAGAAGAATAAGGGGAAAAATGTAAATAATAGATTACCGTTATGAAATTGCTGTTTAAAAAAAGGAGGAGCACACACTGTGTGTGTGTGTATGTTATGTTTTGTTTTGTCTTGTTGGTTTAAAAAATAAAAATTATAAAAAAAATAATTACAGGGGCTGCTCATCAAGCTTGGTGTTTGGAAGTGGACATTATTTCTGCTGCTTCAAGGTCTGTGTTGCTGAGGAGCAGGACAGAGGGACTCAGTTGCTGGATTCAGTGGGTTTTGCTTTTGAATAGATAAGGGTAGAATTGGGCAGGCAATTGACTAGCTATGTGATTGAATTGGTTCTTCCACAAATACCCAAGACTTCTAGATAATTAAGTGAGTGGGCAGCCACAGTTTTCAAATACCAAATATTTGAATTCATATTTTAATTACTATTCTAATATTATTGTGATTATGATCAAGCAAGAATAACATCAAGAGACTGCCGTGTCCTTCCTTCCTTCCTTCCTTCCTTCCTTCCTTCCTTCCTTCCTTCCTTCCTTCCTTCCTTCCGTCATCCTTCTTTCCTTCTTTCCTTCCTCCATCCCCTCCCTCCCTTCCTTCCTCGACCTCCCTTCATCTTTCCTTCCTTCCTTCCTTTCTTCTTTCTTTCCTCCATCTCCCTCCCTCCTTCCTTCCCTCCCTCCCTCCCTTCCTTCATTTCTTCCTCCACCTCCCTCCGTTCCTTTCTTCTTTCCTTCCTCCATCTTCATCCCTCCCTTCTTTCCTTCACTCCCTCTTTCCTTCCTTCACTCCCTCCTTCTTCCTCCACCTCCCTTCCTTCATGTTCCTTCCTTCCTTCCTTCCTTCCTTCCTTCCTTCCTTCTTTCTTTCTTTCTTTCATTACTTCCTCCATCTCCCTTCCTCCCTCCTTCCCTCCCTCCCTCCCTTCCTTCTTCCTTCCCCCAGCTGCTTCCCTCCCTCCCTCCCTCCCTCCCCCCTTTGTGTTTCCTTCTATCCTCAAAATCCAGGAACTCCAGACGATTAAGCAAAGGAATGGTTTCACCTCTCCTGTTGCATTGTTTACTTGCTTAAAGTTGTTGCCACAAAATGCTGAATAACAATCCAAGGACTGTACGTCACAATCTTTGCAATTGCCCCAATCTTTCATTTGGCGGAACCAACAGAGCATGAATGGCATTCACAGATTTGCGTAGGTATTTGTCACCCAACAGTCAAGGTGAGGGTCATTTCAATGCTCCTATCAAATGTGGGGGTTTTTTGCCACCAGGGAAGCAATAATTGCAGTATTGTTTTACAATTGTTACAACCTCTTGTAAATTGATTTAATTGAAAAGATTAATGAACTTTGATTTTGAAAAAAAAAAAAAGTATTATTTTCCTTGTACCTTCTTTATGAGAAAAACTAGACCACACGTGTATATCTTGGTTTCGTAGGAAAACTAATCTGAAGGACAGGAATGAACAATTAAAATAAAGACAAATAATAGAATGGAGAAATTATATGATAGAGTTGTTAAAAAGCATCTCCCCTGCTTTGTATGGCTATACCAGCCTTAACTACACTATTTCATCTGGAGAAGATTGCCTTTGCTGCAGAATTTCAGCTTCTGAGTATTACCCTGCGAATATTCAGCAAAACATGTGCAGCTTTTGCTATTTATGAATAGAGAGAATATTTTAAGAGCAATCAGGCATTCAGTTTTAGCACTGTTTAATTTGGGCCTTCGTCTAATCCTTGTGTACAGTTACCTGGTTGCTGTCAGCCTGAGAGAAACAAGACCAGATAAATTAATTCCTTCTTTTTCCCAGCTACTTTCCTCCTTCCCTCCCTCCCTTTCCCAGCTCCCTCCTTCCCTCCCTTCTCCCTCTCTCTCTCCCTCCCTCCTTCTTTTTTTCCAGACTAGCAATTCCAATTACTGCAACTGTTCTTCATATGTTTTAGTCTCCAGGACTTTAATCATCCTAACTGCTCTTCTCTGCATTCCTTCCAAAGTATCAACATCTTTTTGGTAATGTGGTGACCAAAACTGGATGCTGTATTCCAGGTGTGGTCTTACTAAGGTTTTATAAAGTGGTAATTTGTTGGGATGTAATTTTCCTGGCCAAAGTGTCATAGTTGTTTGCCTTTAATTGCAACCTTTTCCAAAGGCTCAAGAGTGTGCATGAGAGTCATGCTGGTGTCCACATATGAAGGGAATTTTCCAAAAATGGTTGCCCTTCAGGTCATTTGAGACTATGCAATTCCCAATATCCAAGTGTACCATAGTTAAATTAGAAGCAACACAACAGTCTGTTGTTGAATGCTGACCCCACCTGCACCTAGACTTGTGACCATTTCACTTAATATTATTTACTGAAGTTCTTATGAGTCAATGATCCAGAAGCTGGCTTCATGCTCAGGACAATGAACCATCATTCCTTTCCAGTTCAGTCTCATTGGGTTTTCCTACTAGCTCTCTCCTATTTTTGTTTCTTCTGTTTAGATGAATAAAACTCCCTTAGGTAAAGTTTGATTCTTGTGGACATGTAATTTCCATGGCAACAATACCTTTTTTTTTCTTTTGCTTTTTTAAAACTTCTGCTATAGGATTTCCAAAAATCCCCTGTCCAGGTCGAATCAGGTCTGTTCATCTCATGCCCAGCTGACGTGCCATTTTTCAAAACTGAATGTTTATCTCATCATTCAAAGTTATTAATTTTTTTTAACCAGGAAATTATTTTTTGGTTTTTTAAAACAAACAAACAAACAAACAATTTTGGTGCAAATACAATTTATTTTTATTTTAGCAAAGCTGCTGCCATCCTCCAGAGTAGCAAAGGGCAGTTCTCACTGCCATTGCCTTCTACTACAAAGATAGGAAAATCAAACTTTCAAAATTTATATCTAAATTATACTACTGAGATTTGTGAACTTCATTCTTAATTAAGGTTGGGGTGGCAGTGTAAAAAGCGATGAGCGGGCAGTCCTTGGAAACCTGGGTCAACCGTCCGGGTATATCCGATCTTCAATCACTAAGCAAACAAGCAAAGAAACAATTACAAAGATTTGTAGTTTAAAATTGTAGAAATGCATTAGCTTTCTGCAGATCCAGATACCCCAACTTTGCTTAATGACTTTTAGGGTTTGAATCCAAAACATGGCTTCTTTCAAGCTTGTGAGGTGAATACAATTCTGACATAGCCCAACCATCGTCTTTTGTAAAGAGGACCATTCATATTTGGTTTTTAGTTAGTTAATTGTTAATTAGACACACTCACCTGTTTTAACGTAGGAGCTAAAATAAAATAAAACAATAGTTATTTTCCATCTATTAAGTTACTGGATGGCTAATAGGTTACTGAGGTTATTGAAGTTGTCTAAAGATTATTGAAATAGGTTACTGCTGAACAGGTTGCTGAGTAAACAGATTACTGAATAGGTTACTAGTAATCAGCAGTAATCACAGCCCCTGGATTACAGTCTTTTTCCTTGCATAATCCACAGTGGTCATAATCTGAGTTGTAAAGCCAGAAAAAGTAAAAGAATTGGAGTCTAGGTAATATTTATTTAATGTTTTTTTATTATTATTATTCTGCCTCCTTATTCAATCATTGCCAGGTCATAGCTTGTGCCATTTTCATAGTTCTTATTGGAAATCTAAAGGATGCAATTATTTTTTTCAGAAAAGTTCTTCCTAGTTCTGCCTTTGGGGGTTGAAGGGCTCTGCTTTGTTCCCCCCAGAAAGTTCTTTTTCAGGCCCCAAGAATGGAGAGATATATCTGATTTCAAAAGGCTTCTCTTACACTTCTGCATGATTTTAAATCCAATTATTCATGCAAACATAAGCAGACTACTGAGGAAGCTATCCAAAGTTTTTTTTAAAAAAAAGCTCTACAGCCTCTGTAATGCTTTTGAGACTCCATGCAGAAGATCTACAATGACCATTCTAAAAGCAACATTGTGAGAGATGCCTCATAGTCAAATTGCCTCCTTCCCTACCCCATTTGTAGTTTTGGCCCCCATACCATCTACTGAGTATTATCTATGGGAAGCAAGAGCAAAATTCAGCCTTTGAAAGGGGACTGGTTTAACAAAGTTTAACAAAGTTCATGAATAATTTTTTGGAACATCTATGTACTAACAAGACTCGATACATTGTTTACACAGCAGGTAGAAATGAAATTGGGCAATATATTCTCTAAATTAAATGTACGAACAAATGAAAAAAAACCCACTTTTATTATCATACTAATTTTTCCTCTTCTGATAAAAAAAAGAACATAACTGCTCTGTTTTTATCAAGGGTATAGAGAACTTTTTAAAAGCAATCTTGTGTGTGTAAGGCTAAGCATGTTTAAACATGCTCTTGAGTAAACATGTAAGAAGAAGCAAATTTATCATGTGTGGTGAACATAATCCATTTGCAGTTTTGGCCCCCTTACCATCCACTCAGTACTATCTATGGGAAGCAAAAGCAAAATTCAGCCTTTGAAAGGGGACTGGTTTCTTGATACATTCACCACAGAACTTCCATTTAAAGGTGACTTTTTATACCAACAGTCAACACTCAGTGAGGATTTGCTGGGGTAACTTGAAATGTCTGCACAGTATTCTTGAAAAAATAATAATAAAACTTACATTTCCTAGGGCACCAGCAAGACCCTGGAATAAAAAGTGTGAAATTATTGTTTAGTTTCAAAAGTTTAACAAAGTTCATGAATAATTTTCTGGAACATCTATCTACTAGTAAGGCTCAATACATTGTTTACACAGTACGTATAACTGAAATTGGGCAATATATTCTCTAAATTAAATGTATGAACAAATGAAAAAACCCACTTTTATTATCATACTAATTTTTCCTCTTCTGATAAATAAAAGAACATAACTGTTCTGTTTTTATCAAGGGTATAGAGAACTTTTTAAAAGCAATCTTGTGTGTGTAAGGCTAAGCACGTTTAAACATGCTCTTGAGTAAACATGTAAGAAGAAGCAAATTTATCATGTGGGGTGAACATAATCAATTTGCAGTTTTGGCCCCCATACCAACCGCTGAATACTATCTATGGGAAGCAAAAGCAAAATTCAGCATTTGAAAGGGGACTGGTTTGTTGATATATTCACCACAGAAAGTCCATTTAAAGGTGACTTTTTATACCAACAGTCAACACTCAGTGAGGATTTGCTGGGGTAACTTGAAATATCTGCACAGTATCCTTCAAAAAATAATAAAAAAACTTACTTTTCTCTTGCCAGCAAGACCCTGGAATAAAAAGTATGAAATTATTGTTTAGTTTCAAAAGTTTAACAAAGTTCATGAATAATTTTTTGGAACATCTATGTACTAGCAAGGCTCGATACATTGTTTACACAGCAGGTATAAATAAAATTGGGCAATATATTCTCTAAATTAAATGTATGAACAAATGAAAAAAACCAATTTTATTTTCATACTACTGTTTCCTATTCTGATATATAAAAGACCATAACTACTCTGTTTTTATCAAGGGTATAGAGAACTTTTTAAAAGCAATCTTGTGTGTGTAAGGCTAAGCATGTTTAAACATGCTGTTAACTAAACATGTAAGAAGAAGCAAATTTATCATGTGTGGTGAACATAACCCATTTACAGTGTTGGCCCCGATACCAACCACCCAGTACTATCTATGGGAAGCAAGAGCAAAATTCAGCCTTTGAAAGGGGACTGGTTTGTTGATATATTCACCACAAAACTTTCATTTAAAGGTGACTTTTTATACCAACAGTCAACACTCAGTGAGGATTTGCTGGGGTAACTTGAAATGTCTGCACAGTATTCTTGAAAAAAATAATAATAACACTTACATTTCCTAGGGCAGCAACATTCTGGAATAAAAAGTGTGAAATTATTGTTTAGTTTCAAAAGTTTAACAAAGTTCATGAATAATTTTCTGGAACATCTATCTACTAGTAAGGCTCAATACATTGTTTACACAGCAAGTATAACTGAAATTGGGCAATATATTCTCTAAATTAAATGTATGAACAAATGAAAAAAAACCCACTTTTATTATCATACTAATTTTTCTTCTTCTGATAAAAAAAAGAACATAACTGCTCTGTTTTTATCAAGGGTATAGAGAACTTTTTAAAAGCAATCTTGTGTGTGTAAGGCTAAGCACATTTAAACATGCTCTTGAGTAAACATGTAAGAAGAAGCAAATTTATCATGTGTGGTGAACATAATCCATCTGAAGTTTTGGCCCCCATACCAACCACTGAGTACTATCTATGGGAAGCAAAAGCAAAATTCAGCCTTTGAAAGGGGACTGGTTTGTTGATACATTCATCACAGAACTTCCATTTAAAGGTGACTTTTTATACCAACAGTCAACACTCAGTGAGGATTTCCTGGGATAACCTGAAATGTCTGCACAGTATCATTGAAAAAATAATAATAAAACTTACATTTCCTAGGGCGGCAGCAACACCCTGGAATAAAAAGTGTGAAATTATTGTTTAGTTTCAAAAGTTTAACAAAGTTCATGAATAATTTTCTGGAACCTCCATCTACTAGTAAGGCTCAATATACTGTTTACACAGTAAGTATAACTGAAATTGGGCAATATATTCTCTAAATTCAATGTATGAACAAATGAAAAAAAAACACTTTTATTTTCATACTATTTTTTCCTCTTCTGATACATAAAAGACCATAACTGCTCTGTTTTTATCAAGGGTATAGAGAACTTTTTAAAAGTAATCTTGTGTGTTTAAGGCTAAGCACATTTAACATGCTGTTAACTAAACATGTAAGAAGAAGCAAATTTATCATGTGCGGTGAATATAACCCATTTGCAGTGTTGGCCCCCATACCAACCACTGAGTACTATCTATGGGAAGCAAGAGTAATATTCAGCCTTTGAAAGGGGACTGGTTTCTTGATATATTCACCATAGAACTTTCATTTAAAGGTGACTTTTTATACCAATAGTCAACACTCAGTGAGGATTTGCTGGGGTAACTTGAAATGTCTGCACAGTATCCTTGAAAAAATAATAATAAAAAACTTACTTTTCCCTCGCCAGCAAGAACCTGGAATAAAAAGTGTGAAATTATTGTTTAGTTTCAAAAGTTTAACAAAGTTCATGAATAATTTTTTGGAACATCTATGTACTAGCAAGGCTCGATACATTGTTTACACAGCAGGTATAAATAAAATTGGGCAATATATTCTCTAAATTAAATGTATGAACAAATGAAAAAAACCAATTTTATTTTCATACTACTGTTTCCTATTCTGATATATAAAAGACCATAACTACTCTGTTTTTATCAAGGGTATAGAGAACTTTTTAAAAGCAATCTTGTGTGTGTAAGGCTAAGCATGTTTAAACATGCTGTTAACTAAACATGTAAAAAGAAGCAAATTTATCATGTGTGGTGAACATAACCCATTTACAGTGTTGGCCCCGATACCAACCACTCAGTACTATCTATGGGAAGCAAGAGCAAAATTCAGCCTTTGAAAGGGGACTAGTTTCTTGATATATTCACCACAGAACTTTCATTTAAAGGTGACTTTTTATACCAACAGTCAACACTCAGTGAGGATTTGCTGGGGTAACTAGAAATGTCTGCATAGTATCCTTGAAAAAAATAATAATAACACTTACACCTCTTAGGTTAGAAACAGCCTGAAATAAAAAGTGTGAAATTATTGTTTAATTTCAAAAGTTTAACAAAGTTCATGAGTAATTTTCTGGAACATCTATCTACTAGTAAGGCTCGATACATTGTTTACACGGTACGTATAACTGAAATTGGGCAATATATTCTCTAAATTAAATGTATGAACAAATGAAAAAAAACATTTTTATTTTCATACTATTTTTTCCTCTTCTGATATATAAAAGACCATAACCGCTCTGTTTTTATCAAGAGTATAGAGAACTTTTTAAAAGCAATCTTTTGTGTGTGACGCTAAGCACCTTTAAACATGCTGTTGACTAAACATGTAAGAAGAAGCAAATTTAGCATGTGTGGTGAACATAACCCATTTGCAGTGTTGGCCCCCTTACCAACCACTGAGTACTATCTATGGGAAGCAAGAGCAAAATTCAGCCTTTGAAAGGGGACTGGTTTGTTGATATATTCACCACAAAACTTTCATTTAAAGGTGACTTTTTATACCAACAGTCAACACTCAGTGAGGATTTGCTGGGGTAACTTGAAATGTCTGCACAGTATCCTTGAAAAAATAATAATAAAACTTACAAGTCCTAGGTCAGCAAGAAGCTGGAATAAAAAGTGTGAAATTATTGTTTAGTTTCAAAAGTTTAACAAAGTTCATGAATAATTTTCTGTAACATCTATCTACTAGCAAGGGTTGATATATTGTTTACACAGCAAGTATAAATGAAATTGGGCAATATATTCTCTAAATTAAATGTATGAACAAATGAAAAAAACCACTTTTATTTTCATACTGTTTTTTCCTCTTCTGATATATAAAAGACTATAACCGCTCTGTTTTTATCAAAAGTATAGAGAACTTTTTAAAAGCAATCTTGTGTGTGTAAGGCTAAGCACGTTTAAACATGCTGTTAACTAAACATTTAAGAAGAAGCAAATTTAGCATGTGCTGTGAACATATTCCCCCTTACCAACCACTGAATACTATCTATGGGAAGCAAAAGCAAAATTCAGCCTTTGAAAGGGGACTGGTTTGTTGATACATTCAGCACAGAACTTCCATTTAAAAGCCATTCTTTATATCACCAGTCAATAGTCAGTGAGGATTTGCTGGGGAAACTTGAAATGTCTGCAAAGAATTGAAAACAACTTTCTTTTTCAGGGTGTCCTATTAGAAACATTAAGTTTTCAGTCAGACAGCCAAAATGTTGCAGATTTTTTTTTAGGTGGAAAGGGGCTCAGAACTTGTAAAATCAACAATCTTGGCTGTAATCACACATTTTTAGGCAGGTCTATTAAAGACTGAATTGCTGCATTTGTTGAAAATACAAAGGTTGTTTAGATTTAGTTTCAGTAGTTTTTTGGGTGGGATGGGAGAAATTTAACATGTTTGCAAAACCAGTTTTTTGTTTGTGGATTGTACAATAGATTGTTTGAAGCTATGAAATAGGTTATGACTTTTATTAGTTTAAACACAACATAAAGGCATCCATTGTGTTAATGATGCACAAATCCCAGCTCAATCATTCAAAGAAATGACCCTCCCTTTTAGATAATATATCCTTGCAAAATTAATAGTACAACTAACATTTTTTACGTTTTGACCAAGCTGGAATAAACAGTGTCGAATTATTGTTTTTTTTTTTCAAAAGTTTAACAAAATTCATGAACAATCTTCTGAAACATCTATCTACTAGCAAGGTTTTATGTATAGTTTACACAGCAAGTATAAATGAAAAAGAGCAATATAACCTCTAAATTAAATATATGAATAAATGAAAAAAATTACTTTTATTTTCATACTATTTTTTCTCTCTTCTTCATGTATAAAAGACCATAACTGCTTTGCTTTTATCAAGGGTATAGAGACTTTGTAAAAGCAATTTTATGTGTGTAAGGCAAAATGTGTTCAACCATGCTGTAGACTAAACAGGAAAGAAGAGTCAAGTTTGGCATGTGCAGTAGACACAACCCATTTGCAGTTTTGACCCCTCAGTGACCAGCCAGTGAGTATTATCTATGGGAAGCAAAAGCAAAAAAAGGGGACTGGTTTGTTGATATAGTCACCACCAAACTTTCATTTAAAAGCCACTTTTTATATCAACAGTCAACATTCAGTGAGGATTTGCTGGGGCGACTTGAAATACCTATACCAGTGGTGGGAAACCTATGGCATTGGTACCAGAGGTGGCACTCGGAGCCCTCTCTGTGGGCACATGTGCTGTTGCCCCAGCCTTGCCTCCCCCTGTGACCCCCTCACCAGCAGCCCCCCAGGAGAGGAGTCACCCCCAAGCGTGGCTCACAGGGAGCAGCACAACCAAGGACATGGCAGCCAGGCAACATAGACAAGACTCTGCCCTCATGCCCCATTGTGCACAGTTGATGCTGCAGGGTCCAAGGAGAGGGTGTGGCTGCCATGGTGCTGCTGGGCTGCCTGGGCTATCAGCGGTGGGCCCTGGAGGTGGTGAGTGGCCCTGCGGGCAGGCGGGGTGGAGTGGGGGCAGGGCCAGTTTTTGGGCACTCAGTCTCTAAAAGGTTCGCCATCACTGGCCTATACAAAATTGAAAGCAATTTTCTCTTTCAGAGTGTCCTATTAGAAACATTATGTTTTCTGTCAGACAGCTGACAAGTTGCAGATTTTTTAGATGGACAGGGTTTCAGAACTTATTGTCAGTCTTGGTTGCAGTCACACATTTTTTAGGCCTGTTAAAGACTGAATTGCTGCACTTGTTGAAGATACAAAGGTTGGTTAGGTTTATCTTTGGTAGTTTTTTGGGTGGGATGGAAGAAATATAACATGCTTTGCAAATTCATTTATTAGTTTAAACACACAACATAAATGCATCCATTGTGTTAATGATGCTACAGTTATGAGCAAAAAATCCCAGCTCAACCATTCAAAGAAATGACCCTCCCCTTTAGACAATATCCTTGCAAAATTAATAGTAAAACTTACATTCTCCAGAAAGCCTGGTTCACTCTGAAATAAAAGGGTGAAATTATTGTTTTGTTTCAAAAGTTTAACAAAGGATATGAATAACTTTTCTGGAACATCTAACTGCTAGCAAGGCTTGATACATTGTTTATACAGCTGGTATAAATGGAAATAGCCAATAAACTCTCTAAATTAAATGAACAAATGAAAAAAACACTTTTATTTTCATATTTCCCCCCTCTTCTTGATGTATAAAAGACCATAACTGCTCTATGTGTGCCTTATATGAGGGGTATAGAGAACTTTTTAAAAAACAATCTTATGTATGTAAAGCAAAGTATGTTCAGACATACTGTAAGCTATGTTTATGGGCAGTGAACACATCTCTGAATAGTTGTTAGCCTTCATCTAGAGGATTGTTCATATTTGGTGCTTATTTAGTTAATTGTTAACTAGACACACTCACTATATCTTTTTTGTCCTCTAGAAACTAAAATGGAAAAAAAAATGGTTATTTGCCTTCTTATACATTAGTGAGTGGGTAATAGGTTACTGGATCTATAGATTACTCTGGTTGTGGACATTTCAGGAATTCAAACCACTTGATCTATTTATGGTTCACTGTAGTATGTGAAACAGAGCATGGCTTCTTTCATGGAGCAAGTTTAACATGTGCAGTGAACACAATCCTGACATAGAGGACTGTTCCCATGTAATGTTTATTTAGTTAAATGTTAACTAGACACATTCACCTCACCGACAAATAAAAGCTAAAATGGAAAAAAGAAAGAGTTATTTTCCTTGTTATGGGTTACTCCGTATGAAATAGGTTAGTGGATTTATAGGACATTGAGGTTTTTTTATATATAGGGGAGCCCAAAGCACTTGTTCCCTTTATAGTTTACTCTAGAGTGTAATTCCAGAGCATGGCTTCTTTCAGGAAGCATGTTTAGCATCAGTGGTGAACACAACCCTGATGTAGTTGTTAGCCAAACCAAGGTCCTTCGTAAAGCTGTTCATATTTTATTTAATTATTTGTTAATCAGACAAACTCACCAGATTTTTCAGTTGTTCCTAAAATAGAAAAATGAAATAGTTATTTTCTTTCTTACAGGTTAATGAGAGGGTAATAGGTTATTAGATCTATAAATTACGGATATTATTGAAATAGGTTATTCAAGGTTCATCAACAGGAGAAAAATAATATGGGAAGACAAATAGGAAATTTAAAAAAATGGAGCCACTATTAAAAATGAATAAAAAAAAGAATCCAAATCAAGAATCCAAAAAAGGTTTCAATTCCTTAAGCAGCTCTTTGAAGTACACTAATAACCATATTTTCTAAGTAAGAAAGATTTGCTATAATAAATAGCACAGTTATTCTCCATCCAATCGTTTCTTTACCCTTAAGCCAGCCACAAAAATTAATACTGCTTTTCAGATCAGTTAAATCATTCTAGAGAGCTGAACAATTTTCCTAAATTTGCACACTTATAGGAATCATCAAGTTTTTGGCCAACACTCCCGAAAATAAATATGTAAATATATTTTTAAAAATCCTCTTAGTTCACACATTTTCTTCTTCTTGATGCATGAAATACCATAATTCATAATGTGCATTGTGCACATTAATTCTCTGCATTAAGAGATGCATTTTGAGCATTAATTCCCTCAGGCCAAATAGCATTCTTATCTAACAGAAGATTTCTAAATTTATGGAGGATTCTAGTAACCCCAATCAGGATTTTTAAATAATATTATCTAAACTAAAAGCATGAAGAAATGCAGAAAACCCTATAATTTAACTTTTTCTGTCTCTTTTTGATGCTAACAGTCCATAACTTATTTTATCAAGTGCATGGAGAACTTTTTCAAGGGGATGAGGATTATCATATGTGTGTAAGGCAAAGCATAGTCACACGATGGCGTCTGTTCAGAAACATACAGAAGGCTGCCGTGTAATGAAAGTTAAACTTTCTAGACTGCTCAGAGTTGCCTCTAGGTGAGAATGGCAGCAAAAAAATCTAATGAAAAAAATGATAATAATAAATAAAATTTGACATATGGGAATGGGCATTTAATTTCAACATGGAAATTCAGGCATAATTGTTATACCTCCCCAAATTTAACCGTAATCTGCATATTTCTAAATAAATAGAAGATTAACAATACTCAACAGGGAGTTGGAACTGGTCTAAACTGAATAATAAAACAGTACAGTTATTCCTCCATGCAATTGTTTCTTTACCTTTGAGTGATCCTCAAAAATGTAACACTGCTTTCCAAATCTCTTAACCAAAGCAGTTTGATCTGATCCCCCTTTTTTAAAATTTAAGAACATGTACAGAGAATAAAACCTTGAGTGGGTATAGAAAACTGTTCCCCTTTGATATTTATTTCATTAATTGAAAATAGATACCCAACTCCTTATTTTCTAGGACCTAAAGTAGAACAAAGAAATAGTTATATTTTTTCTAATAGGTTACTGAATGGATAATAGGTCACTGGATTTATACATAGGTGAGGTTACTAAAATAGGTTTAATCAGAGGCAAAAAGTGAATTGATAAATTCTTTAAGCATCTGGAGAAACCCAAGGATGCTATGATGATTAACTTTCTCCTGGCAAGGAGATTCTATGGGTAGTAGATGTCTATAGGTCATAGCAATGTAAGGAACAGATACATTTATTAAATAATCAGATTTCAAAATCCTCCCCTTCCACCTTTGCATAATTATTAATCCAATTATACATGCAAACACTAGGAAACTAGGAGGAAATTATCCAAAGTAAAAAAAAAATAAACATAAAAAACAAGGTTTTTTTTTAACCTTTGCTCTTTCTTAAATCTCTTTTATTTTATTGATTTACATTATATTTGATGATTGTGTCATGGATTTACACAAGGTGCTGTCAAAAACATTACATCATCTCTTGTGGCTGCCGTGGTACAGTGTATTACTTGAACCTATGAAATGGGTTATTGTGTTTATTATTTAAATACATGGGAAAAATGTGTCCTTTGGGATAATGATGCAATTAGTTATGATCAAAAATCTCAGCGCAGACATTCAAAGAAAGGAACCTTCATTTTGGAGAGTACCATTGTGAAATTAATAGTAAAACTTACAGCATCTTTAATACACAGAAGAACCTGGAATAAAGAAAACATAGAATTATTGTTTTGTTTTAAAAGGTTAATAAAGGACATTAATAACTCCCCTGGTACATTAGTATTCTAGGATGTAGAAATCAACATCCAGTAATAGGGAATCCATGCTCTCTTCTCTTTTACACTGAACCCTAAAAAGTTAGCTTAACAATTTCCATACAACATGTTCACAGCCCTCCTTTCCCTAATTCTCATCGCTGCTAATCTCTTCTCAATTGCCTTGACAATTTGGAAATGAATAAACCCCAGAATAAGGTCTTCAAGAATTCTATTGAGAAATACAGGGGCATAAAGTTACTTAATGGTTCCTTGTCTATCAACGTTTTTGCACACTTATTGCATTCTGAAACCCAAAGAAGTTTTTCCTGGCCAGCCAGCCCAACTGAACTCTTTAGAACCCTTTCTTAGCAGTTTCTGATCTATCTGGAGTCAAATCCTCACTTGAGTGTCTTGTACATAGTTCTAGTTCTGACCCTGAACTCCTTGAGCAAATTGGGAGATGTAGCTTTGTTTTGTATAGAATGTTTGAAAAGGGGGATGGTATGGTGTCCACTAATATACTCCATAAGGAAAACTTTCTTCACAGGTTCCCCCCCCCCCCCATGGGTATTGCTTTTGTTGTTTGGATCCACCAGCAGATTTTCCTTGAACACAAAACTAGATATGTTTGAATATGTGTCAGGAGGAGGGGTTGTTTCAAGGAAGGCAATAAGATCATTCCTTTGTTATTTCCCAGATCTACCCTATCCTTCAGCTGCAGGAGAAAATATTGGGAGCTAGGAAACTAATCAGAAAGCTTTACTTAATAAAAGTATATAATGCAGCGAAAAAAAATGTTTAGAGATGCAGAGGGTTCAGCCATAGTTATATGAGAACTTATTGTATTCACCCAACATTTTCAAGAATCTCAAGTAAAGAATTAGTAGCCATATTGACTCAATGGGCAAAACTAAGTTGGTTTTAAAGTTGATTTAATTTTCTGATCTATTATCTATCTCTACACATGCAACTTCTTTAGTCATTTTGTGATTCATTATATTATTTGTCCTGCCATGGGAGTTATTAGTAGAGGTTTGCAATACTTACCTCTGCTATTTTTTTCGCCTAAATTGAACAACAAAAAAGTATAGTTATTCCTCATGGAATTATTTCTCTAGCTTTTACTCATCTATAAAACTTAACAGTCCTTTGCAGATGTCTCAAATCACAGTAGCATGGTTAGCAATTTTCCTAAATTGAAAAACTTGTAAAAAAATCATCAAGTTTTTGGCCAATGCCTTAAGAATTAATGAAGAAAAAAACATATTATTGCAGATTTCTCAAATCATTATAAAGAAGTGAGCAATTTCCCTAAATTTACAGATCTGTTGAAATTACTAGGTTTTTGATCAAGTCTCTCCCCCTAAAAAAACCCCATCAATCAATTAAAATAACACCTTATATTTTCAATTTTTCCTCATTTCAGTGCATATATTGTCTGTAGACATTTTATCTGACCTACATAGACCTTTTATCAAGGATATAAATAACTTTTTAAAAGCAATCTTATGTGTATAAGCCTAAGCATGTTCACATTATCATGTTTGTTCAAAAACATATCAAAGAAGGAGAAGATGGAGAAGAGAGAGAACAACAGTTTGTGTTTCTACAAGATATTTAAATGGGTAAATTTAGGAAGTGGAGGTTGTGTTTTGTACATGATTAACCTGCTTACTTGTCACCTAGGATATCTTTATGATTTGACATTTTAGGGGAAACTCAAAGCACTTGTTCTATTTATGGTTTGACTATAGCAGGACTTTTCAATCTTTTCACCCATTGTACCACTTTTAGGATATGGCAATATCCGAGTACCACCAGTCACCTAGCAAGATGTCAAAAACTTGATGAAAAAAAAAAGAAAAAAAGTGATGAAGTACAGGTAGTCCTCGACTTACAACAGTTCACTTAGAGACTGTTCAAAGTTACAATGGCACTGAAAAAAGTGCCCCCCACAGCCGAGCAAGACACCTGCCTGCCCACCAGGTGGCACTCTTTTTCCTGTCCAAGGTTTTCATTGTTGGGAGCATTTCTATTGAGGATTGGCAGCAGGGGTGTTTGGTTTTTATTTGCCCCATTTGCTGGATGGTTGTAGCAGGTTTTGGTCACTTCACATGACTCTGGGACACTGTGACCATCATAAATATGAATCAGTTGCCAAGAATCTGAATGTAAATCACAAGATCCTGGAGATGCTGCAACATTCTAGCTGATTGGTGCTTCTTCTGGGCTCAGCAGAAGTGCCAGGATCAGCACCAAGCTCTAGCTGGAGCCTGGCACTGATCCTGGTGCTTCCTGAGCCCTGAAAGACCTGAAGAAGCACTGATCCTTGCGCTCCTGCTGAGCCCTGACAGCCGTGCAGCTCCAGCCATCTCTCACTCAGCCTTGTGTGGTGCTGCCACTGGTTCAGCTCATTCCCCGCCCCCCTGCTACCACTTTTCTAGGATGGTCACGTACCACCTGTCAGGTGCCAAAATACCACAGGTGGTACCCGTACCACTGGTTGAAAAGTCCTGGACTATGGTATGTGAATCTAAAAAATGGCTTATTTCAGGAAGCAGGTTTATCCTAATGTGATTGTGAGCCAAATCAATGTCTTCGTAGAGAGAGCTGCTCATATTGAGTATTTACTTAATTGTTCACTAGACACACTGATTTGTTGGGTCGATGTCTTTCTAAAATAGTTATTTTTGTTCTCATTCGTTCTTGAGTGGGTAATTGGTTACTGGCTCTTTAGATTACTGAGGATACTGAAAAGATTATTCAAGGGTGATCAATAGAGAAACAATGAGCCTAGAAAGAAAAGAAGGAAAAAGGGCTGCTATAAAAATGAATAAAAAATGTATTGCATGTGTATTCTTCATTTAATCTAAGGATATACAATCTGGTAAATCCAGTGGTGGGATTCAGCCGGTTCGCACCACTTCGGCAGAAATGGTAGCTAATTTTTGGTTGCCCAAGCCCACAATGGACTTCTGGAAGCAGCATCCACACAGAGAACTGGTTATTCACATATTTGAATCCCACCACTGGGTAAATCTATACCCGGAATGAAAAACTGATAAATTCGTTCAGCAGCTGGGAAAACCTAACAATAAAACTGAGTTCTGTGACTAATCAGAAAGGTTCACTTTCTATTTGGATATAATGCAGCAGAAAAGATACCTAGAGATGCAAAGAGTTCAGTAACAGTTATGAGTAAGAGGACTTAGTATTTACTGTGTTCAGACAACATTTTTAGAAAACTCATGTAAAGAATTCACAGGCATATTGACACAACCTACAAAGCTAACTTAGCTTTAATATTTATGTTATTTTTGCCCACTTATCTATTTGTGATATACAACCTTCTTAGCTGTTTTGTGATTCATTTTATTACATGTTCCACCATGAGAGTTATTAAAAGAGGTTTGCAATACTCACTTTTCCAATTTGTTCAGGCTAAATTGAACAACAAAAAAGTGCAGTTATTCCTCATGGAATTATTTCTCTAACTTTTACTCACTATAACACTATAAAACAAACATTCTTTTGCAGATATCTCAAATCACAGTAGCACGGTTAGCCATTTTCCTAAATTGAAAGACTTGTAAAAAATTACCAAGTTTTTGGCCAATGCCAGAAGAATTAATGAAGAAAAAAAACATATTATTTCACCTTTTTCTCTTATTTATGTGTAATGCCATAACTGATATGCATATTTATTTTATCATCAATACAGAGAGCTTTTTCAGAGGAATGAAGATTATCTTTTGTGTATAAGGGAAAGCAAACTGAGATGTTATTTAGAAATTTACTGTAAATTATGGTGTAATGGTTTAAAATTTGAAATATGAAAATGTGTATACTTTTAAAATAGATATTCGGTCATATTTGTTGCACTCCCAAAATACACCAATAATGTGCACAATTTCTAAATACAAAAAAGTTTTGTGATAATCATTGAGAGTACTTATCTAGGTAAATTAAATAATGAAGTTGTATAGTTATTCCTCCATGAAATCTTTTCTTTACTTTTTGTCATCCACAAAAATTTAACACTGTTCTGTGGATCTCTCAAATCAGTATATAGAAGTGAGCAATTTTTCTAAATTTACAGAGTTGTTGAAATTACTAGGTTTTTGACCAAGTCTCTCCCCCTTAAAAAAACCCCATCAATCAATTAAAAAAACACCTTATATTTTCACTTTTTCCTCATTTCAGTACATATATTGTCTGTAGACATTTTATCTGATCTACATAGACTTTTCATCAAGGATATAAAGAACTTTTTAAAAGCAATCTTATGTGTATAAGGCAAAGCATGTTCACTTTATCATGTTTGTTCAGAAACATATCAAAGAAGGAGAAGGTGGAGAAGAGAGAGAACAACAGTTTGTGTTTCTACAAGATATTTAAATGGGTAAATTTAAATGGAGGTTGTGTTTTGTGCATGATTAACCTGCTTACTTGTCACCTAGGATATCTTTATGGTTTGACATTTTAGGGGAACTCAAAGCACTTGATCTATTTATGGTTTCACTATAGTATGTGAATCCAAAAACTGGCTTATTTCAGGAAGCAGGTTTATGCTAAAGTGATTTTGAGCCAAATCAATGTCTTTGTAGAGAGAGCTGCTCGTATTTGGTAGTTACTTTTCAACTAGACACACTGACTTATTGGGTCAGTGTCTTTTTAGAAATAGTTATTTTTGTTCTCATTCGTTCCTGAGTGGGTAATTGGTTACTGGCTCTTTAGATTACTGAGGATACTGAAAAGACTACTCAAGGGTGATCAATAGGGAAACAATAGAAACAAAAAAAAAAGGAAAAGGGGATGCTATAGAAACGAATAAAAAATGTATTGCGTGTGTATTCTTCATTTAATCTAAGGATATACAATCTGATAAATCCAGTGGTGGGATTCAGCTGGTTCACATCACTTCGGCAGAAACGGTAGCTAATTTTTGGTTGCCCAGGCCCAAAATGGACTTCCGGAAGTGGCATGAACACAGAGAACCGGTTGTTCACTTATTTGAATCCCAGCCCTGGGTAAATCTATACCGGGAATGAAAAACTGATAAATTATTTAAGCAGCTGGGGAAACCTAAGGATAAAACTGAGGTCTGAAACTAATCAGAAAGGTTCACTTTCTATATAGATATAATGCAACAGAAAAGATACTTAGAGATGCAAAGAGTTCAGTAACAGTTATGAGTAAGAGGACTTACTGTGTTCACCCAACATTTATACAAAACTCATGTAAAGAATTCACAGGCATATTGACACAACCTACAAAGCTAACTTAGCTTCAATATTGATTTTATTTTTTCCTGCTTATCTGTTTGTGCATATACAACCTTCTTAGCTGTTTTGTATTCATTTTATTACATGTTCCACCATGGGAGTTATTAGCAGAGGTTTGCAATACTCACAGTGGGTTGTTCTAGGCCCTAAATTAAACAATAAAAAAGTACAGTTATTTCATTCTTTTAATTATCCACAATAACTTAATGTGACTTTGCAGATCTCTTAAACAAAGCAATTTGACCTGATCCTCTTTTGTTCTTATTGAAATCTTCATGATACATGATTTGAACATTTCTAATAAAGGCCTGATGCATTGTTTACACAGCAGATATAAAAGAAAATGGTTAATATACTCCCTAAAATAAACGTGCAAACAAATGGGGAAAAAACACCTTTTATTTTCATACTTTCCCCCCTCATCTTGATATATAAGAGGCTCTAATTGCCTTGCAGATATCTTTTATCAAAGATATAGAGAACTGTTTATGTGCTGGACCAGTTATGTAATCATCTGGCCAAAGCACATATTAGCTTGAGATCTGTATGTTAGAATGTTTGGCATTTAAAGGTTTAGATGCTATTTCCTTAAGAGATGGCTTATGGGTAATGTAGTTTTAGCTGTTCAGTAAATCCTATGTTTAACAAGTCAGTGGGAGGGGCCATTAAGTTCATCGCAGGATATCCTGGCTACATGCCAAGTTGTTAAAGAAGCCTTTGTGAAGATAGACACAAGGTGATGTGTCCCATAAGAGCCATGGGGTGAGTCTACCATTAATTTTTCACCCAGAAGAACGGAGAAAGATTATGATATGTTCATCAGAAGAACTCTTCTTGACTGTAAGTTATTGTTTGAGATTCCTGAGGAACAAAATAATCTGAATATTATCCCGTTCTTTGGCGTTTATCTGTTTGAGAAGAGCAGGATTAAAGCAGATACCTTGTTTGGTCCAAAACAGTTTAAAAGCAATCTTAGGTTTGTAAAGCAAAGCATGTTTATGCTGTTATATTAATTCACAAACATTTTGTAAACTAAAGATGAAGGGAGAAGAGAGACCCATAGCCATTGTCACTATAAGATGTTTAAACAGGTCATTTCAAGAATAGAGGCTGCGTATGTCCATGATAAACTTGCTTACTTATCATCTAGGATTTCTTCATGATATTTTTATTCCAGTAAACTCAAGACACTTGATGATTTATGGTTCCCTATAGTAATGCCTTATGCCAGGAAGCAAGCTTAACATGTGCAATGGATACAATCCTGACACAGTTGTTAACTAATACCTTTTGTATACTGTTCATATTTGGTTTAATTTAATCAATTGGTAACTAGAGACACTCACCATTTGTTTTGCCATCAACTAAAATAAAAAAAAGTAATAGTTATATTTCTTCTTATAGGTTACTGAATGGGTAATAAGGTATTGGATCAGTAAGTTACTGAGGTTACTAAAGTAGATAACTTAAGGTTAATCAACAGAGAAAAAAGTGAATCCAGAAAGAAAAAATGGAAAAGAAAAAAAAGTGAGCTGCTATCCAAATCATGGGACACTGCCTTGTCTCAACCTAACAAATGGGTTATTGTATTTATAAGTTTAAATTACACGGTAAAAATGTATCCTGTGGGATAATGATGCAATTAATTATGAGTAGAATTCTCAGCTAAGTCATTCAAAGAAATAAACCTCCCTTTTGGATAGTACTATAGCAAAATGAATAGTAAAACTTACGTCGGTAGCAGTTTGAACATTCTGAAATAAAAATGTGGAATTCAAAAGTTTAATAATGGATAATGATAACTTCCTTGGCATATCAGTATATTAGCAATGTAAAAATCAATATCTGGTTGATCCCAATAGAGAGATTCCATGCTCTCTTCTCTTCTATACCGGACCATGAAAAATTAGCACAACAAATTCCATACTTTGTATTCCTATCCCTCCTTTTTCCCAATTATCATCTTACTGCTCATGTCTTCTCACAAACAGAACCAATATCAACAAAAGAACAACCAGCTGTGGTATATAATATAGGAAGAAGGTTATACTTTCTCCAGATAAAAGATGGACCCCAATAGTAGCCAGCAGCCAGTTTTTATTCCACAAAGGATTAATTTGGGGAATTAAATAGAGTACTCTGAAGAAAGATAGCAGTAGCAGCAAGATTCATATATAGTAGTAAACCCAAGAGGAATTTTGCCCATTCAACAGGTCTCTGGCTTTGATTCTTATTCACCAAGGGACTTAAAACAAAACTCATTCTGGCCATAACTTAGAAGTGTCACTAAAAGGATGTCCCATAGGAAGGTCTCGTTCCTAGACAAATATTTGTGCAACTTATTCTCATTCTCCTGCAGTTTTTTTTTTTTCAATTAGAGACTGCTACTGTTGTGGTCCAGGAAGTGATAATTCTGAAAAGACTTCCAGGTTTGTCTGGAGTTTTAGAAAAAAAAAATCAACCAAATGACCCAAAGATTGATATAATCCTCTTCACTTCCTCATTTCCTAGTCTCAATTTTACCTGCATGTAAGCAAACATCCCCCATGAAAGTCAATTATTCAAGACAAACCAATTTGCTTTCCTTTATGAGTAGGACAATTCCCTGGACGACTCAGAGATCAATAAAATCAGCATATGGACTCCAAGAACACTTTTGAGAAATACGGAAGCATAAAGTTATTCTATGTTGCATCATCCATCAACGGTTCTGCACATTCATGGAATTATGAAACCGAAAGAAGGATGCAAATTTTCTTTGGCTAGTCCAATCGATATATCTCAAGAACCCTTTCTAAGTAGCTTCTGATCGATCTATCTATCTGGAATTAGTCTGTCCTCATGTATCTTGGATGTATCTCTAGCCCTGACACAGAACTCCTTTTGCAATTGGGAAGTATAGCTTTGCTTTGCACAGAATGCTTGAAAAAGGGATTGGTAAAATTGACCATTAAGATACCCCATTGGGAAATCTTGCTTTATAGGAAGTTTTTTTTTGTTGTTATCGTTTGGATCCACCTGCAGATTTTCCTTGCACACAAAGCTACATATGTTTGAACGTATGCCAGGAGGAGAGGTTGTTGCAAGGAAGGTAAAAAGATAATTCCTTTATTCCTTCCAGATCTGCCCTTTCCTTCAGCTGCAGGAGAAAGTATGGGAAGCTCTGAAACTAATCAGAAAGGCAGGCCTGTTAAAGGTTGAATTGCTGAACTTGTTGAAGATACATAGGTTGGTTAGGTTTATCTTTGCTAGTTTTTTGTGTGGGATGGGAGAAATATAATATGCTTTGCAAATGCATTTCTTAGGTTAAACACACAACAGCCATTGTGTTAATGATGCTACAGTTATGAGCAAAAAATCCCAGCTCAGCCATTCAAAGAAATGACCCTCCCCTTTAGACAATATCCTTGCAAAATTAATAGTAAAACTTACTTTCTCAAAAACAACTTGAGGATCCTGGAATAAAAGGGTGAAATTATTGTTTAGTTTCAAAAGTTTAACAAAGGACATGAATAACTTTTCTGGAACATCTATCTGCTAGCAAGGCTTGATGCACTGTTTACACAGCTGGTATAAATGGAAATAGCCAATAAACTCTCTAAATTAAATGAACAAATGAAAAAAAAACCACTTTTATTTTCATATTTCCCCCCCCTCTTCTTGATTTATAAAAGACCATAACTGCTCTGTGTGTGCCTTATATGAGGGGTATAGCGAACTTTTTTTAAAAAAAATCTTATGTATGTGTGCCAGGAGGAGAGGTTATTATTATTGTTGTTGTTGTTGTTGTTATCAGAAAGCTTCACTTCCTATAAGCAGAAAAAATGTTTAGAGATGCAGAGGGTTCACCCAACATTTTTAAGAATCTCATATAAAGAATTAGCAGCCATACTGACCCCATCTACAGAACACAGTTTTAATGTTGATATGATTTCTCATGCTTATCTATCTCTGCACATGCAAACATTTTTGATGTTTTATGATTCATTTTATTACATGTCCCACCATGGGAAGGATTAGCAGAGCTTTGCAATACTTACCACATTTTTTGGAACCTAAATTGAACATTAAAATAGTACAGTTATTTCTTTCATGCAATGGTTTTTATCTTTTAATCATCCACAACAACTTAACATTGCTTCACAGAACTCTTAAACCAAAGCAGTTTGACCAGATCTCTTTTGTTCTTACTTAATTCCTCAGGACTCCTGATTTGAACATTTCTAATTAAGGGTTAATACATTGTTTACAGAGCAGACATAAATAAAAATGGGCAAAAAACTCCCTAAAACAAACATGAGATTAAATAACAAAAACACTTTTATTTCATACTTTTTTTTCCCTCCTCTCGATGTAAAAAATACCATAATGTCCTGCACATATATTTTATCAAGGCTACAGAAAATTGTTTAAAAGCAAACATATATGTATAAGGCAAAGAATGTTCACATGACAGTGTTTGTCCAAAAATTTACTATAATCTACAGATGAACGAAGGAAAAGTTGGAGAAAAGAGACAAACAGCCTATGTTTCCACAAGATGTTTGAGCAGGTCATTTAGACCAGGGCTTTTCAACCGGTGGTACGCATACCACTTGTGATACATTAAGGAGTGGCAGATGGTACGCAGCCCTGCTAGCCAAGTGTAGTGGGGGAGGGAAAGAGCCAGTGCAGGCAAGGACTTACTGTAAGAGAGTCCTCTGGAGCTGCAGAGTGGCTGAGGTTGAGGCTCACCCAGGCTTACTTCTGGCTCACCCTCCCCCATGAGAAAGGAGGAGGAGGGGAGTGGAGACAGGAGAGGCTATAAAAGGAGGCAGTTTGGGCGGAGAGGGAAAAAAAGAAGCAGCTTCAGGAGGATGTGGAGGAGGGTGGGGGGGAGAAGAGAAGAGAAGAGAAGAGAAGAGAAGAGAAGAGAAGAGAAGAGATCAAGGAGTCCGAGCAGTCTGGCCATGAGCCAATCTACAACTTCTGTGGCAGCCACCTGTGCTGGCAGCAACAAACAGGCAAGAAATGCAGCAGGGGAGGGGTTGCCCTCCAGGAGGAATGAATAAAGGTAGCATCAACTGGAGGTAAGACATAGAGGGAGAGAGAGAGATGGAGAATGGAATGATTCTTATGTGCTTTTGTGACTTCGAAGTACTGGGATTTGTGCAATGTGGGCTTTGTGTTCTTAAGAAGTGTTTGGCAATTTCTATTTGGGTAATGGCTGATGTCTCCTGTTAGCTTCTGTTGTTCTGCTATTGTTAGCTGTAAGTTTTGCTGCACGGGATTTTGAAGTATTTTTCTCCTGAATGGATTTTACCTGTGGCATTCCTTTACTTATGAATGGAGCCATTTGGGGAGGCTGCCATAGCTGGCAGCCAATACTTACTACATTTTTTTCTTCCTTAAGTGCCTGCTGTGCTTGTTAACTTTCCTTTCTAGCCAGTAGCTAATTCTTAAAGGGGAATGTGCCTTTTTAAGCTAATTCCCTCAGCAGCTTCACTCTTCTGTCTCTGGAGGCTTTTCCTTGTTTGATGAATATATGGAAGAGGGAAAATATAAGGGGAGGGTTCAAATTCTTCCTTCAGAAGGAGGTGTACATGAGAAAGAGGGAGGCAGGGAAGGAGGGAGGGAAGGAAGGAAGTCCCGCCTTAGCACTTGGCCACTAGCAGCCCTGCCATTGACTTTGCTTGTCAAAAGGTTGCAAAAAGGGATCATATGACCCTGGAACACTGTAATCATCATAAATGTAAAACAGTTGCCAAGCATCTAAATATAAATCACATGACCCTGGGCATGCTGCAATTATCATAAGTCATTTCAGTGCAATTGTGACTTTGAACAGGTTTTTTGTTTTGGTTTTTTTGGTCATCAAGTTTTTGACATGTTGCTAGGTGGTACTCGAATATTGCCACAGCCTAAAAGTAGTACAGTTGGTGAAAAGGTTGAAAAGCCCTGATTTACACAATATCCTTGGAAAATTAATAGTAAAACTTACACCGATGTGAAAGTCTAGAAGATTCTGGAATAAAAGGGTGAAATTATTGTTTTGTTTCAAAAGTTTAACAAAGGACATGAATAACTTTTCTGGAACATCTATCTGCTAGCAAGGCTTGATACATTGTTTACACAGCTGGTATAAATGGAAATAACCAATAAACTCTCTAAATTAAATGAACAAATGAAAAAAACCACTTTTATTTTCATGTTTCCCCCCCTCTTCTTGATGTATGAGACCATAACTGCTCTGTGTGTAATTTATATGAGGGGTATAAAGAACTTTTTAAAAAGCAATCTTTTGTATGTAAAGAAAGTATGTTCAGACATGCTGTAGGCTACATTTATGTGCAGTGAACATAACTCTGAATAGTTGTTAGTCAAACAAATGTCCTTCATCTAGAGGATTGTTCATACTTGGTGCTTATTTAGTTAATTGTTAACTAGACACACTCACTATATCTTTATTGTCCTCTAGAAACTAAAATGGAAAAAAATGATTATTTGCCTTCTTATACATTAGTGAGTGGGTAATAGGTTACTGGATCTATGGATTACTCTGGTTGTTGACATTTCAGGAATTCAAACCACTTGATCTATTTATGGTTCACTGTAGTATGTGAAACAGAGCATGGCTTCTTTCATGGAGCAAGTTTAACATGTGCAGTGAACACAATCCTGACATAGTTGTTAGCCAGAGCAATGCCCTTCACATAGAGGACTGTTCCCATGTAATGTTTATTTAGTTAAATGTTAACTAGACACACTCACCTTACTGATAAATGGAAGCTAAAATGGAAAAAAGAAAGAGTTATTTTCCTTGTTATGGATTACTCCCTGTGCAATAGGTTAGTGGATTTATAGATTAGTGAGGTTTTTTTTATATTTTAAGGGAACCCAAAGCACTTGTTCCCTTTATGGTGTGCTCTAGAGTGTAAATCCAGAGCATGGCTTTTTTCAGGAAGCATGTTTAGCATCAGTGGTGAATAAAACCCTGATGTAGTTGTTAGCCAAACCAAGGTCCTTTGTAAAGCTGTTCATATTTGGTGTTTATTTAATTATTTGTTAACCAGACAAACTCACCTGATATTTCAGTTCTTCCTAAAAAAGAAAAATGAAATAGTTATTTTCTTTCTTACAGGTTACTGAGAGGGTAATAGATTATTAGATCTATAAATTACGGATATTATTGAAGTAGGTTACTCAAGGTTCATCAACAGGAGAAAAATAATATGGGAAGACAAATAGGAAGTTTAAAAAAATGGAGCCACTATTAAAAATGAATAAAAAAAAAGTTGTTAGCCAAACTAAGGTCCTTCGTAAAGCTGTTCATATTTGGTGTTTATTTAATTATTTGTTAATCAGACAGACTCACCAGTTTTTTCAGTAGTTCCTAAAATAGAAAAATGAAATAGTTATTTTCTTTCTTACAGGTTAATGAGAGGGTAATAGGTTATTAGATCTATAAATTACGGATATTATTGAAGTAGGTTATTCAAGGTTCATCAACAGGAGAAAAATAATATGGAAAGACAAATAGGAAGTTTAAAAAAATGGAGCCACTATTAAAAATGAATAAAAAAAAATTGTTAGCCAAACTAAGGTCCTTCGTAAAGCTGTTCATATTTGGTGTTTATTTAATTATTAGTTAACCAGACAAACTCACCAGATTTTTCAGTTCTTCCTAAAATAGAAAAATGAAATAGTTATTTTCTTTCTTACAGGTTAATGAGAGGGTAATAGGTTATTAGATCTATAAATTACGGATATTATTGAAGTAGGTTATTCAAGGTTCATCAACAGGAGAAAAATAACATGGGAAGACAAATAGGAAGTTTAAAAAATGGAGCCACTATTAAAAATGAATTAAAAAAAAAAATCCAAATCAAGAATCCAAAAAAGGTTTCAATTCCTTAACCAGCTCTTTGAAGTATACTAATAACCATATTTTCTACGTAAGAAAGATTTGCTATAATAAATAGCAGTTATTCTCCATCCAATCGTTTCTTTACCTTTAAGCCAGCCACAAAAATTTATACTGCTTTTCAGATCAGTTAAATCATTCTAGAGAGCTGAACAATTTTCCTAAATTTGCACACTTATAGGAATCATCAACTTTTTGGCCAACACTCCCTAAAATAAATATGTGAATACATTTTTAAAAAACCTCTTAGTTCACACATTTTCCTCTTCTTGATGCATGAAATGTCATATCTCACCTGCATTTTTGACACATGTAAATGGATATTTAATTTCAAAATAGAAACTCAGATATATATTGTTTCTATGTGTGAAAGGGAGGAATTAAGAAATGCTTTGTGCAGATTAATTCTCCACATTAAGAGATGCATTTTGAGCATTAATTCCCTCAGACCAAATAGCATTCTTATCTAACAAAAGATTTCTAAATTTATGTAGGACTTCTAGTAACCTCAATCAGGATTTTTAACTAATATTATCTAAACTAAATATATGAAGAAATGCAGGAAACCCTATAATTCCACTTTTTCCTCTTTTTTTGATACATAACACACCATAACTTACTTTATCAAGTGTGTGGAGAACTTTTTCAAGGGGATGAGGATTATCATATGTGTGTAAGGCAAAGCATAGTCACACAATGGTATCTGTTCAGAAACATACAGAAGGCTGCCGTGTAATGAAAGTTAAACTTTCTAGGTTGTCCAGAGTCGCCTCTAGGTGAGAATGGCAGCAAAAAAATCTAATAAATAAATAAAAATAAATAAAAGTTGACACATGGGAATGTGTCAAATTTTATTGATTTACACTATATTTGATGATGGTGTCATCCAGCAAGTTAGTAGTCTATCATGGATTTACACAAGATGCTGTCAAAAACATTACATCATCTCTTGTGGCTGTCATAGTGCAGTGTATTATTTGAACCTATGAAATGGGTTATTGTGTTTATTATTTAAACACATGGGAAAATGTGTCTTTTGGGATAATGATGCAATTAATTATGATCAAAAATCTCAGCTCAGACATTCAAAGAAAGGAACCTTCATTTTGGAGAGTACCATTGCAAAACTAATAGTAAAACTTACATGAGCGCTAAGACACCTAAGAAACTGGAATAAAAAAAAAACATAGAATTATTGTTTTGTTTTAAAAGGTTAATAAAGGACATTAATAACTCCCCTGGTACATTAGTATTCTAGGATGTAGAAATCAACATCCAGTAATAGGGAATCCATGCTCTCTTCTCTTTTACACTGGACCCTAAAAAGTTAGCTTAACAATTTCCATACAACATGCTCCCAGTCCTCCTTTCCCTAATTCTCATCTTGCTGCTAATCTCTTCTCAATTGCCTTGACAATTTGGAAATGAATAAATCCCAGAATAAGGTCTTCAAGAATTCTATTGAGAAATACAGGGGCATAAAGTTACTTAATGGTTCCTTGTCTATCAACGTTTTTGCACACTTATTGCATTCTGAAACCCAAAGAAGTTTTTCCTGGCCAGCCAGCCCAACTGAACTCTTCAGAACCCTTTCTTAGCAGTTTCTGACCTATCTGGAATCAAATCCTCACTTGAGTGTCTTGTACATAGTTCTAGTTCTGACCCTGAACTCCTTGAGCAAATTGGGAAATATAGCTTTGTTTTGTATAGAATATTTGAAAAGGGGGATGGTACTGGTGTCCACTAATATACTCCATAAGGAAAACTTTCTTCACAGGTTCCCCCCCCCCCATGTGTATTGCTTTTGTTGTTTGGATCCACCAGCAGATTTTCCTTGAACACAAAACTAGATACGTTTGAATGTGTGTCAGGAGGAGGGGTTGTTTCAAGGAAGGCAATAAGATAATTCCTTTGTTGTTTCTTCCCTATCCTTCAGCTGCAGGAGAAAATATTGGGAGCCAATCAGAAAGCTTCACTTCCTATAAGTATATAATGCAGCGGAAAAAAAAATGTTTAGAGATGCAGAGGGTTCAGCCATAGTTATATGAGAACTTATTGTGTTCACCCAACATTTTCAAGAATCTCAAGTAAAGAATTAGCAGCCATATTGACTCAATGGGAAAAACTAAGTTGGTTTTAAAGTTGATTTGATTTTATGATCTATTATCTATCTCGGCAAATGCAACTTCTTTAGTCATTTTGTGATTCATTACATTATTTGTCCTGCCATGGGAGTTATTAGCAGAAGTTTGCAATACTCACCTCTCTTGTTTTTGGATCCTAAATTGAACAACAAAAGAGTATAGTTATTCTTCATGGAATTATTTCTCTACCTTTACTCATCTATAAAACTTATCAGTCCTTTGCAGATATCTCAAATCACAGTAGCACGGTTAGCCATTTTCCTAAATTGAAAGACTTGTAAAAAATTACCAAGTTTTTGGCCAATGCCAGAAGAATTAATGAAGAAAAAAACATATTATTTCACCTTTTTCTCTTATTTATGTGTAATGCCATAACTGATATGCATATTTATTTTATCATCAATACAGAGAGCTTTTTCAGAGGAATGAAGATTATCTTTTGTGTATAAGGGAAAGCAAACTGAGAGGTTATTTAGAAATTTACTGTAAATTATGGTGTAATGGTTTAAAATTTGAAATATGAAAATATGTATACTTTTAAAATAGATATTCGGTCATATTTGTTGCACTCCCAAAATACACCAATGTGCACAATTTCTAAATACAAAAAAGTTTTGTGATAATCATTGAGAGCACTTATCTAGGTAAATTAAATAATGAAGTTCTATAGTTATTCCTCCATGCAATCTTTTCTTTATTTTTTGTCATCCACAAAAATGTAACACTGCTCTGCGGATCTCTCAAATCAGTATATAGAAGTGAGCAATTTTCCTATATTTACACAGTTGTTGAAATTACTAGGTTTTTGACCAAGTCTCTCCCCCTTAAAAAAACCCATCAATCAATTTAAAAAACACCTTATATTTTCACTTTTTCCTCATTTCAGGGCATATATTGTCTGTAGACATTTTATCTGACCTACATAGACCTTTTATCAAGGATATAAATAACTTTTTAAAAGCAATCTTATGTGTATAAGGCAAAGCATGTTCACATTATCATGTTTGTTCAAAAACATATCAAAGAAGGAGAAGGTGGAGAAGAGAGAGAACAACAGTTTGTGTTTCTACAAGATATTTAAATGGGTAAATTTAAATGGAGGTTGTGCTTTGTGCATGATTAACCTGCTTACTTGTCACCTAGGATATCTTTACGGTTTGACATTTTAGGGGAACTCAAAGCACTTGATCTATTTATATCTATAGTATGTGAATCCCAAAAATGGCTTATTTCAGGAAGCAGGTTTATGCTAAAGTGATTTTGAGCCAAATCAATGTCTTTGTAGAGAGAGCTGCTCATATTTGGTAGTTACTTGTTAACTAGACACACTGACTTGTTGGGTCAGTGTCTTTTTAGAAATAGTTATTTTTGTTCTCATTCGTTCCTGAGTGGGTAATTGGTTACTGGCTCTTTAGATTACTGTGGATACTGAAAAGATTACTCAAGGGTGATCAATAGGGAAACAATGAGCATAGAAAGAAAAAAAGGAAAAAGGGCTACTATAAAAATGAATAAAAAATGTATTGCATGTGTATTTTTCATTTAATCTAAGGATATACAATCTGGTAAATCCAGTGGTGGGATTCAGCTGGTTCGCACCACTTCGGCAGAAATGGTAGCTAATTTTTTGTTGCCCAGGCCCAAAATGGACTTCCGGAAGTGGCATGAACACAGAGAACCGGTTGTTCACATATCTGAATCCCACCACTGGGTAAATCTATACCCGGAATGAAAAACTGATAAATTCGTTCAGCAGCCGGGGAAACCTAAGGATAAAACTGAGGTCTGAGACTAATCAGAAAGGTTCACTTTCTATATAGATATAATGCAGCAGAAAAGATACTTAGAGATGCAAAGAGTTCAGTAACAGTTATGAGTAAGAGGATTTAGTACTTACTGTGTTCACCCAACATTTTTACAAAACTCATGTAAAGAATTCATAGGCATATTGACACAACCTACAAAGCTAACTTAGCTTTAATATTTATGTTATTTTTGCCTGCTTATCTATTTGTGCATATACAACCTTCTTAGTTGCTTTGTGATTCATTTTATTACATGTGCCACCATGGGAAGGATTAGCAGAACTTTGCAATACTTACCACATTTTCTAGAACCTAAATTGAACATTAAAATAGTACAGTTATTTCTTCCATGCAATGGTTTTTATCTTTTAATCATCCACAACAACTTAACATTGCTTCACTGAACTCTTAAACCAAAGTAGTTTGACCAGATCTCTTTTGTTCTTATTTAATTCCTCAGGACTCCTGATTTGAACATTTCTAATTAAGGGTTAATACATTGTTTACACAGCAGACATAAATAAAAATGGGCAAAAAACTCCCTAAAACAAACATGAGATTAAATAACAAAAACACTTTTATTTCATACTTTTTTCCCCTCCTCTCGATGTAAAAAATACCATAATGTCCTGTGCATACATTTTATCAAGGCTACAGAAAATTGTTTAAAAGCAAACATATATATATAAGGCAAAAAATGTTCACATGACAGTGTTTGTCCAAAAATGTACTATAATCTACAGACGAATAAAGGAGAAGTTGGAGAAAAGAGACAAACAGCCCATGTTTCCACAAGATGTTTGAGCAGGTCATTTCAAAAATTAGAGGTTGTATTTGTAAAAGATAAACCTATTTACTTGTTACCCTGGATATACTTAGAGTATTTTTATTTCAGGAGAACTCAAAGCATTTGATCTATTTATGGTTCACTGTAATGAATTTAGAAAAGGATTTATTTCAAGAAGTTTTGCATGAATAGCATAATCATATAGTTTTTAGCCAAATTACTGCCCTTTGTATAGAGTACTGTTCATATTTTATTTTATTTTGCTGAGTGGTAAGTAGAGACACTATGCTTGGACCTAAACAAAAGAAAGAATAAAAGAAAAGAAAAAAGAAATGTTATCTTTCTTGTGTAGGTACTGAGGGATAATAGTTTATGGGACCTATAAGTTACTGAGGTTATTACAGTAGGTTACTCAACCTACAAAACTTAGTTGGTTTTAATGTTGAGATGATTTTCTGATGCTTATCTATCTGTGCAAATGCAAACTTTTTTTGTAATTTTTATTACATGTCCCACCATGGGAAGGATTAGAATAGCTTTGCAATACTTACATTTACATTTCCGGAACTCTAAATTGAACATTAAAATAGTATAGTTATTTCTTCCATGCAATTTTGTTTTATCTTTTAATCATTCACAATAACTTAACATGGCTTTATAGATCCCTTAAACAAAAGCAGTATGACCTGATCCCTTCTATATATCTAATCTGGTGTAAACTATTAGAATATTCAGAAACATGTAATATTTTTATACCTCATCACCAGGATAAATACAATTGTTTTGAAACAAATCTTGTTCATGACACCAATTCATTTTCAAAGATAATAGTAAGCATCTGAATTGAAAATATTGATCTTATTTACATTTCTTGACATTACCTATTTCAAATTGCAGATTGGGTTACTGGAATTGTTTACACAACTATTTGATGTGTTTGATGTGTTGTGCCAAGCATGTTCATATCATGTTATTCATTGAAGAGAACATATCACAAAGCCATACAGGCTTAAAAGTTGGCACATGAAAATGGACATTTATCCTCAGATTGGAAATCAGACATATCTGCGACATTCCTGAAATGCAATGATTCTGTGCATTCTCTAAACACATGGAAGATTTATAATACTTACCAACAGGGATGAGACCTAAATTTGAAAATAAAACAGTTCAGTTATTCTTGCATTCTGTTTTTCTTTTCCTTTTAACCATTCATAAAATGTTTTGTAAATCTGTTAAACTAAAGCCAGTTTGGTGTTGGGACTAAGGTGCTGGCCTAGAAACCAGAACCCTGGGAGTTCTAATGTTGCCTTAAGCATTGAAGCCAACTGGATGACTTTGGGCCATCAATCTCTTGCAACCCAACTCATCTGACAAAGTTTTGGTGTGGGGAAAATAGGAGATGGAAGGAGTATTATGTATGTTCTTTGCCTTATGTTACTTATAAAGTAATAAAGATGACATTAAAAAAACCTAATAAAATAAAAAAATCACTTGATCTCTTTTATTCTGGTTGCGCAGTGGTTAGAATGCACTTCTGCAGTTCAAGTCTCACTGATTCAAGGTTGACTTACCCTTCCATCCTTCCGAGGTTGGTAAAATGAGGACCCAGATTGTTGAGGCAAGAGGTTGACTCTGTAAACCGCTTAGAAAGGGCTGTAAAGCCCTGTGAAGTGGTATATAAGTCTAAGTGCTTTTGCTATTACTATTCTGAGGATCATGTGATCACCTTTTGCAACCTTCTGACAAACAAAGTCAGTGGGGAAGCCACTTAACAACCATGTTGCTAACTTATCAACAGGAGTGATGCACTTAACAACTGTGGCAAGAAAAGTCATAAAATGGGACAAAACTCACTTAACAAATTTTTCACTTAACAATAGAAATTTTGGGCTCAGTTGTGGTTGTAAGTCGAGGACTACCTGTATAGTTTTTATGTTATTTTTCTATATTTTTCACTTTGATCTGCCCAAGAAATTTTTATTAGTAGTAGTATTCCTCAGTAAAAAAAAAAAGCAAACAAGACTAATGTTATGCATTTTATCCTTTTTTCTGCTGAATCTTTAAAAAAAAAAAAAACCATCAAAGTCCAGCTTTCATGGCAGACAGGGCAGCAGCCCAGAATAATATAGTCACTGAGTGGGGGCACTGGAGAGACCTCATTTCCTTTAGCACATACACCAGCTAATTGGAATGGAGGCAGATAGAATAAAGCAATAGAGTCTCAAGTGGTCTAGCTATATACCAGCAGAGGGAGAAAAACATTACTTTGGATGCACAGCAAGAAAGCCTGGGTGGAAAACATCTTCCCAATAGGCAAATGATGTCTTGCTCTCTCAAAGCAATAAGGGGTTCATCATTATGCTGCACAAGCAGGTGGTAGAGATCAACACTAACTTCCTGACAGTGAGGACAATCAACCAGTGGAACAGCTTACCCCCGGAAATTGTGGGCGCCCCATCACTGCATCACTGGAGGTCTTTAAGAAAAAACTAGACAATCACCTGTCTGAGATGGTGTAGGTTCTCCTGCTTAAGTGGGGGGCTGGACTAGAAGACCTCCAAGGTCCCTTCCAGCTCTATTCTATTTAAAGAATGACATTCCTCAATAAAACATACAAGATTGAGGGGCCCTTGGTGCTCTCTGAGCTTGCTTGTTTTCTTGAAGATGTTTCATTACCCTAAGTAGGTAACATCATCACTGCTAGTGCTAGACCCCTCATTTCAACCCTGAGCTACAAATATTCTCCTTCGTTAGTACATACAAAATTGCATTCCTGGATCTCACTGAATATCTTGCTAAACATTCAGGACAGATTATCAGAAGTATTCATTAAGAGACAGAACAGCCTTACCAAAATGTCCTGTTGGCAAAGGAGAGCAATGAGAAAAGCAGACGCAACAGCCTGGAGATGCATCTTGGATTGGATTGGGTTGGTTTGATTTGACTTCACAGCGTTTCAGGAGTAAAGTCACGGATGTGAGGAAGGACAACTGCTAGCATCTATATTTATAGCAGGTGTCTGGGTGGGGATTTCAAGGATGACTGATCAAATGTTATCCCTCCATTGTTAAGGAGTCCAATCAGTTTTGTCAATAAGGAAATGTCAACTTATCTTAGAATTGTTGGCTGAGAAGGAATTGTTGATGCCAAAAAGCCAGGGGCTAGTTTGGATTCAAAGATTAAAAGGCATTATTCATCTTAAACAAAGAGCCAAAAAGATACAATTTGACTTTTTCTGTGTTTGGGCATTTGGGTTGCACAAATACCCTTTCTCTATAGAATCAAGGGGAAGTCGGTCATGAAGATTTTCGTAATATTGATCTGAAGGTCATTCGAAATAGCAAAGTCCTACAATTACAAGAGTATGGAAAATCGATGCTTACACATTCAAACCCATTAAAAAGACCACTTCATTTTCCTATGAATCTACCCCCCCCCCAAAATTTGACTGAACAAAATTTGAAAATAGAAACCAAAATTAATTCAGGTTATTAAATTCCTCTTCTGCCTCAACATTGCTGAATTGGGTGTATTAGCTCAATACAACCCAAAATTAGACTTTGGCCATATTTGAACAAAAAAAGCATAGATGCCTGTTTTCAAGTCAGAACTGGATACCTGCAATAGCATGACATTTGAAAATACAGGTAGTCCTTGACTTACAATAGTTCATTTAGGGACCATTCGAAGTTACGACGGGATTGAAAAAAGTGACTTATGACTCTTTTTCACACTTATAACCATTGCAGCATCCCTCTGGTCACGTGATCAGACTTCAGATGCTTGGAAACTGGTTGATATTTATGACGGTTGCAGTGTCCTGGGGTCACGTGATCACATTCTGTGACCTTCTGACAAGAAAAGTCCATGGGGAAGCCAGATTCACTTAACAACTATGTTACTAGCTTAACAGTTTCAGTGATTCACTTAACAACTGTGGCAAGAAAAGTTGTAAAATGGGGCAAAATTCACTTAACAAATGTTTCACTTCACAACAGAAATGTTGGGCTCAGTTGTGATCATTAGCTGAGGACTGCCTGCATCTGAAATGTGAAGTAAGACATGTATCAGAGAGAAGATAACATTTTCTTGGTCTGTTCCCTGCAACCAAGATCTCCAAAAAGTCAGATCAGCAGTCAGATGCATTTTTGGTTTTAATCTAGGTTAGTTTTTTTTTTTTATGGCACAGTGTTACAAATAACTTACTTATGTGGTTAGCTTATCATTCAGTGTATTGCACTAATCCAGAAAGTGGGTCCATTCCAGTGGTGGGATTCCAATACCTGAACAACCAGTTCTATTATGTGTTGCAGGCCTGGGCCTCCGATGCCTAGAATGGACTTCTGGAAGTGGTATCCATGCACTTCCGGTAGGCTGTTCTAGGCCTGGGAGGTGTCCAAGGCCTAGACTGGACTTCCAGAAGCCAGACCAGTGTTTCTCAACCTTGACAATTTTAAGGCATGTGGACTTCAACTCCCAGAATTCCACAGCCAGCATTGCTGGCTATGGAATTCTGGGAGTTGAAGTCCCCATGCCTTAAAATTGTCAAGGTTGAGAAACACTGAGCCAGACGGTTCTCCGAATTCAGGTAAATTTAACTACCGGTTCTCCTGAATTGGTGCGAACCAGCTGAATCCCATCACTGTCCATTCGATTATCAGATTCATGATATTGTGTAAATGCCACCAAATTGGGTATACACTTTTTGCCTTACAATTGACTAGAGCAGAACAAAAATGTCTCCAAAGGCATATTGTTCTTTCTGAGGCATGTGGGATTTTATCTACTGAAAAAGAAGGTTGTTTTTAGAATATTCTTCCCATATTTTCAGCTGTGCCTGCTATTTCTTTTCCACGAAACTCCAAATACATATAAGTATTGTGGAATATGCAAAACAATAATCTGATGGTCACCATATTTGCTTTGTATGATTGTAGTTGCTGTGGAAACAAACTAAGGAATCAAGGAAACAAGAGGAGAGAATAATAAGTCTGAGGAGAAACAACAACTAGAGGTAGTCCTTGACTTACGACCATTCGTTCAGCTGCTGTTCAAAGTTACTGAACAAAAGGATTTACAACTCATGCCTGCAATTATGGCCATTGCAGATCCCCCACAGTCATGTGATCAAAATTCAGGTGCTTGGCAGCTTGCCTGCATTTATGAGTCATGGGGGTGCAGTGGTTAGAACGCAGTATTGCAGGCTAATTCTACCGACTGCCAGTAGTTCGCTTTTCACCAGCTCAAGGTTGACTCAGCCTTCCATCTTTCTGAGATTGATAAAATGAGGACCCAGATTGTTGGGGGCAATAGGCTGACTCTGTAAATCACTTAGAGAGGGCTGTAATGCTATTGTTATGTCCTGAGCCTGCTGAAGCATTCAGCAAGCTCAGAAATGTTGCAAAGGGTCCCGGGCAGACCAAAAGCTGCCTGGGACCAGACTGTCTGTCTCCAGCCTTGCGCGCATGCGCAAGGTGTGAAAACAGCCTGGCTTTCATTGGCTGATGCTGTCCGGGGCGAGGACATTATAAAAGGCCTGCGTGCCATTTTTTCTGTTGCTGTTTGTTGGAGCAATCAATAAAGAAGACTTGCTGTTTACATTACTTGTCTCCTCACTATGCCTTTTACCCGCGAATCTAACAGTGGTGACGAAGGTGGGATCGGTGCAAGCAATATTACCATCAAAAGAAAATAGACTCACCAAGGAAATCCTGGGGAAGTTCGGCATCCAGCATCGTGACTTTGCCTGCCAGTACAGCATCACTGGAAGTGAGCTTGGCAAAGGGACCCCTTCCCAATAAAAGGCTTGCAGCGAAGGTGTTAACAAAAGTTGTAAAAAGCTAAAATGTCTAAGATTGGCCGGTTGTCAGACTTTGATATTTCCCACCCGGAGCAATGGAATTCCTATGTAGCAAGGATGGAGAATTACCTCAGGGTCAATCAGATAAGAGAAGATGGCCTTAAAGCAGCAACCCTGCTATGTATCTGTGGACAAGAAACATTTGACATAGCAGAGAATCTGGTGGCCCTGGCGCTTTTGGAGTCAGTGACTTATGCAGACTTGAAGAAAATGCTGAAAGAACATTTCCAACCCAAACTTTCTGTGATTGCTTGGAGACACGTGTTCGAGCAGAGGGGCCAGAGGCCTGGTGAGTCTGCTGCGGATTTTATTGCTACCTTAAGGCAAGAAGCGAGGCCTTGTGAATTCAAGGATCTGGAAGAGAGGCTGCGGGATCGTTTCGTTTGTGGCCTAAGAAGTCGTGAGCTGCAGCAGAAGATCTTCGCCAAGGAAGATGTTTTGTTCCAAGATGCCTTGAGAGAGGTTGCAGATGAAGAAGCAGCAGGCGGTGCTGTGAAGGCCTTGTGGCTCACCAGAAATCCTCCAGCCATTGTGACCGTCCATCAGGAGGTTGCTTGGAAGATCCAGAACTGGATCCTGAAGAGGAGGTGGACATGCTCCACCAGTCAGTGGAGAGAAGACCGAAGGAGCATCCAGACAAGGCCCCAGCATCTCCTTGGTGTTTTGGGTGTGGAGGACGCCACAAGCGAGCTGACTGCAGATTCCGCTATGCCATTTGGTGGGCATGTGGAAGGCAAGGCCACATTGTATCCATCTTTTTGGGTCGCCAGAAGGTCCAACCTCGGGAAGAATTGCTTTAGAAAGGTACCAGGGTCCCCAGCCAACACAGGGTGGGTTTCTGTGCATCACGCAGGAATATTTTGAGAACAGGAACACACAAGCTCCTTAAGAAAAAGCTTCACATTGACGTGAAGCTGCAAGGGGTTCCCTTGTCGATGGAGTTGGACACAGGGTCCACTCTATCGATCATTTCACATGACACCTTCAAAAGGATTTGCAGCAGTAGTGGCCTTCGAGTCAAACTCAGGCCATTGAACTTAATTCTCACTGACTTCCAGAATTCCAGAGTCAGCGTGAAGAGGGAGGCCACGCTCAGGGTGCAGCATAAGGCTTTTGAAGGCCTACTAGATGTGGTGGTAGTTGGGGGCGACCGCACAAGTCTCATTGGATTCGATTGGTTCGAGGCCCTTGGGATCCAAATGACTGGGCTGCACAGCCTGCAAATGTTAGGCCTTGCAGAAGTCTGCAAGGAGTTTGCTGATGTATTTAGCACAGAGCTTGGTTCATACAAGGGGCCTCCCATTGCCTTACGTTTAGACCCAGCTATCACACCCATTAGGATTAAGCCTAGAAGGGTCCCTTTTGCTCTCAAAAGCAAAATTGATGCAGAGCTGGACAAGCTGTTCCAGCAGGGCATCTTAGAACCTGTGGACTGTAGTCCATGGGAAACCTCCACTGTAATGCCTCTAAAGCAGCGGTTCTCAACCTATGGGTCACGACCCCATTTGGGGTCGATCGACCATTTTTCGGGGGTTGCCAAAGGCAGCGATCCGCCATTTCCTCCCCTTCGGGGCAGCGGCGCGCATGCGCGCTGTGCATGGGGGTGGCGGCACGCCTCCGGGGGCGCCGCCGCCCATGCGCATTGCGCATGCGCGCCACGCATGCGTGCCACTCTGCACATGCGCGCCGCGCATGGGGCATGCCGCACATGTGCGCCGCGCATGGGGCGTGTCGCACATGTGCGCCATGCATGGGGGCGCCGCACATGCGCCCCGCGCAAGGGGGTGCCGCATCATGCGTGGGGGCACGCATGGGCGGCGGCACGCATGTGCATAACATTTGTTGACGGGAGTCGCCGTCACACAAACATTGAGAACCGCTGCTCTAAAGGCTAATGCTGAAGTCCAAATTTGGACTATAAATGTACACTGAACAAAACGCTGCAACAGCATGCATATCCAATGGCTGTGGTAAACCACATTCTGGCCTCCCTCAAAGGGGGGGCAAATTTTTGATTTGGCACAGGCCTACCAACAGTTACCTGTTGATGAGGCAACAGCTGAGGCTCAAACAATCATAATTCACAGGGGAGCCTTTAAGGTCAAAAGACTGCAGTTTGGGGTTAATGTTGCAT